CTATGAGAGAACATGTCGCCGGTGAGACGCAAGTCGAGGAAAATCGGAATAAGGTAGAAACAATTTTTTTTCCTGATGAAAGAATAGAGTCTACTCTTTCTTTTGGTGTGTTCGGTGTTTACATAGTTATAGCACAAACTATTCTGTGGCTCTTGAAAAATCAGTCAAAATGCTCAAAAAAATGCACCATTTTGTAGTTTCTTTTTAACTCATTGACTGCCAGCCATTTTCAGAACAGAGTCCCATACTGCCAGAGTTTTTTTAACTGGTCGGACAGTCTGAATTATTATATAAGCCACCTAGAGGGTCAATTTGTTACTACACACTCTGTCTAGAAGCCTGATATTTACGGACAAGCTTTAGCAGATCGTCCCCCAGCCACTCTCGTTGAAAAACATAAAAGACATCTATAGACGTCTTTGGCAGTCAATGAGTTAATCACGGGATTTGGACGGTACAGGATAAATGGTTAACGGTAGCGGGAATCAACCAATAGCAAAGACGGAAAAAAAAAAAGTAAATGCACCATTTTGTAGTTTCCTTTTGATATACCTACAATGTAACGCAATTAAAAAATAACAACATGACCAGTTCACGAGCACTCAGGGGTTTTAGTCTAGGAACGGGAAGGGCCAGGTAAGTGGGGGCCCAGAGCCCCCCTCCCCCTGCCTGCCTTTCACAGTTTGTTTGCCCGACGACAAACTGAGCTGCCCTTTGCTTCTGACGTTGGATTTGCTGCTTGAGTGACGCCCCCAGAAAATAGCCGGAGCCCCAAGCTGAAAAATGTGTCAAAAAAGAAAGAAAAAAAGGACGATTTGGCCCCCAAAAAATCAGTTTTACGGCTCGGTTTGGCTCCATTTGCTCATTTTCTCGGGGTGTTTCTATTTGAGATGCATGTCAGAGTCATTTCACCTTTAATGGAAGAGCCCCCCCCCCCTTCCCATTGGGCCCTGACCTGGTGGGGCTCTTGGGGGCTTAGAAATATAACATATTATGCAAAACCAAGTTTTTAGTCATCTGATTATGTACATTTGGGACTGTGGAGGGCCTATCAGCAGGCAAAGTGCGAAAAAAATGACAGATTGTTGTTCATAAGTTTCTAGATAGTCACAGGTGATGCTTAGATTAAAGTTGTTCGGGATATTTTTAATAATGGAGAAGCTAACATTCATTCTTAAGCTTGAGCAAGATAAGTTTGAAAACTACTGGAAAAAATTTGAAAACACTATCTAGCCATTACATTAGGACACCAGGGAACTAGCTTAACTTGT